CTCTCCCGGGGCTGAGCGAGCCGGGCGTGGGGGCTGGGCGGGGTCCCCTGTCTGCCCTGACCGTGGTCCCCTCTCCCCACCCCTGCTCTGTGGCAGCGGGGGAGGTGGAGCTGGGCGGGGGCCCGGGCGCGGGCAGCCTGCAGGCCCTGGCGCTGGAGGGGCCCCTGCAGAAGCGCGGCATCGTGGACCAGTGTTGCACGAGCATCTGCTCCCTCTACCAGCTGGAGAACTACTGCAACTAGCAGCCCGGCCCGCACCCCAGCCCCCCAATAAAGCCCTCAGCCAGCCTTGGTCCTGTCGTTTGTGTGACTCGGGTGGGCTGCCGGGCAGGGGTGCTCAGGGCACACACGGGGCCCCCGCCTCGGCCACGGCTGCTCGGGGGCCTTCTCCCCGAGTCCCCTCCTCGTCTCTCTGCACTGGCCCCCCAAGCTTCTCCCATGCTTACGGGGTGCCCGGAGCCTGAGGCAGGGTCCCCCCAGGTGGCCAGCTCCCGTCAGCTGCCCACCGTCCCCTGCCCTCGGTCACTGGGAGGACTTCTGGCCCCGACTGCTTCAGGACGGGCCAGGGAAGGGTTGTGGGGTCTCTGGGAGGCTGGGGCTGGGGGCTGGCTGGGAGCTGACACCCTCAGCTCGGACGCCCTGAGCTCTCAGCACCCCTGGGAGCTTTTCGAGGGAACAGAATGGGGCAGCTCCAGAGATTTCTCCCACATGGCCCCAGAGGCCCACTTTTAGGGCTATTTCTGATGGGGGCCCCTGGGAGGGAAGAAGCTGGGCCGTGGGTTGTTACAGGGGCAGGGGACAGAGAAGGGCACGAGAGGCTGCCCACACTGGGCCTTTCGCAGTGACCCCCAGTGGCCCCAGCCCAGATCCGGCCAGAGGAACACCCTAGGGCCCTGGGGAACTCGGGAGGGGCCAGGCAGCACCCCTGAGCCAGGGGATGAGCTGGGACTGCCGCAGGCACTGGGTGGGGGCCTGGGACCCAGTACTTGGGGCATCCTGGCTGTGTCCCCCCAAACTGCAGCCCACAGGGCCCGGGTTTGGGGCTGGGACTCCCACTGCCCCTGGGCCTCTCCTCCCACCATCCAGCCACATTCCTCTGCCCCACACCGGTGGCGACCCCAGAAGTGCCACCAGGGCCTGAAGACAAGGTCACTCGAGGTCTAAATCGTCAAGGGCCCCATCACCCTCCCTCCTCCTCAGCACCCACTGCAGCCCAGGGTGGCCCCACTGGGCACTCACTTAGGCCACCAGCTTGCAAGCCAGAGAGCTGCCCAGCTGGCCATGGATGGGAGGTCAGTGGGTCACCTGACCGCACAGAGGCCTGGATAGCCTGCCAGCCACCCAGCCAAACCAATCTGCACCTTCCCTGAAGGCTCCGCCCGGGCCTGGGCCCGGCCCCGTGGGCTGCAGACCACTCAGAGGCCACCTTGGGCCTGAGCAGACCCTCCTGCTGAGGCCCAGTCGCCTGCCCTCCCTGCAGCCCTTCCTGCAGCCCCCAGGCTCCCTCCCAGGTCACTCCCTCCCCGGGACCACATAGATGCCCTCAAAGGGGATGTCACAGGCCCCAAGCTAGCCCCGCCCCTGGAGTGGGGGCCAGGGCTAAGCAGATGGGTGGACAGTGGACACTGGACCGGNCCTCTCCCACGGCAGCACCCCTGAAAATCCAGGGAGGCTGGCCGCCAGGTCAAGGTCAAGTCAAGGCCGGGCTTCTCAAAGGCAGAGCCTGACCTTTGTTAGAAGGATGTGTGTGGGGGTCCCTCCCAGCTCCTCCCTCTGAGTAGTTGGGGCCACAAGGTGGGTNCCCCCAGTAGCTCTGGGAGAGGCAGGGGTGTCCCGTGGGAGTTGAGGTACGTGAGCGCTGGCAGGCCCGGCCGGGCCCAGCTGGGGTGGGAAGGGGCCGCCGGGGCTGGTCCTGCTGACCAGGGACCCTGGGGAGGAGCAGGGGCTTCCCTCCCCCTCGGGTGCCAGCAGACCCTGAGCAGGGGGAACAGGGGCCCTTTGGGTCTGGGGCGCACGGGCTACCCCGACGGGCAGGACTCAGAGCGGGATGGGTCTGGGTCGTGCTGGTGTGACTTGACTGCCCCCCAGGGCCTCTGGAGAGGGGTCATGCCCTCGGATGGGGAAGGCTGCCCAGGAATCTCAGTGGTGCTGTGACATGGTCCTCGAGGCCCCGCTTAGACTGGGCCCTGCCTCCCTCCCCCT